TGGTGTTTAGATTGATTGTGCTGGTTTCTCTTTGTGTTCAGTTGGATGACAGCTTTTCTATGCAGAGATCTGGGTCGTTGGATTTCTACCAGCACCCGGCCATGTATTGGATAAGGTACGCCGGGTTTCCATAGAGACACAACTGGGTAGACGGTCACAAACCAGCGAGAAATCAAAACAAACCAAAATAGTGTCTCTGAAATTGATGCCCCCCCCTCCCCCTCCCTGCGTGCTGCCCTGCTGACTGGCTGCTGCTGTGCTGCTTTGACAGCTTCATGTTGTTGTCCCTGCCTTGTGATCTTTGTGCCCGGCCTTTCGCTTTTCTCCTTTCATCCCTTTGCTCGCCGCAAAGCAGATTTCATACAGTACCTACATCGCTGTCGTCTGTCTATTGCTCAAGCCTCGCCGTCTGTGTTGTGTCGCTGCATATCAGTGTCTCCTGGATTTCTGTGAATAACATTGTGAATGTTTCTCCTAAATGTCTCCGTTGCACATGTGCTATAAAACAAAGTAAACAAACTGATGTTGCTGAGGTTTTCACTGAGTAACACTCACTTTTTGTTTACGCTATATCTTTGTGAATGCTGCCTTTCCAAAGAAATAACGCTGTTCCCTGTTCCTTTGCTTGTCACAATGAATTTCACTGATTTTATTTTGTTTTGCTTGATGTGATGTTCCCCACCTGGCTGCCTCTACTAACACCAGGACTTGCTGCTCAGCTCCTACTGCCCCCTGATGTTTGACTTTATCCACTGATTTATGGAGGACCTATAGAGACGCATGGTTATAAAGGTTTCGCGTTATAAAGAAATTGATCAGTTGATATTTACAGTAACTGGACTTTGGTAAGAGGAATTAATAATTGACTTGAAAGAATTAATAACAGATGAATGCATGCAACAATTTCATGCATTAGTCGAGCATTATAGAGAGATTATAAATAACAAAATGAAGCAATTGATATAAATTAAATAGATGATTAATACTTAAATAAGGGGCTTTAATTTGGACAGAGACACAATCTTTCAGCCTATTTCTTCTTTTGACCAATCAACCAAACAAACAAACAAACAAATAAAAAACACCCCCCATTGCCATGAAAATGACAATGGAAACGGAAATGTGAATGCAGTAACAACAGAAGAGAATTAGAAACCTAATAAACCCCTTTATTAATTTACTCTTTTTGCGTTTTTAAATCCCTCTCCTAACTGTCTGATTAAATATCAGATAATAACTGAATGGATCCATGCAAGGCTCTCCTGGTCCTCCATACTGGATCATGCACTGTGCTGCTGGATCGCTGCAGCAGAGGATCTAATCACAGTGTTCTCCTGTTCCTCCCTCACTCAGGCCACCCCTCTTGATAAGGAGGGGCAGGTTTTCAGACGAGGACGCCACCCGGATGTGAAGCCGCTGCCTTTGCAGATGATGCCGACGGTGACAACAGTAACAACATCGACAACTAAAACTCTACGGGCGGAGCCTCCCAGTTGCCTCCCTGGCCTGCCCATGGCCCCTCCCTCTCTGACCCCTGACACTTGCTCTGACCCTTCCCCGAACCCCAGCCTCCCATCTGACTCTGATGACATCTCCATCAGCTCGGCCAGCATCGTCTGCTCCCCCAGCTCGCCCTTCTAGAGAGGAGGCGGAGGGGGGAAGGAGGAGGAGGTGTGCAGAGGAGGAAGAGGAGGAATGCGAGGAGAAGAAAATCCTCATCCAGCTCCTCCCTTTATACACGGAGGAGGAGGAGGAGGAGGAGGAGATGTCAGCTTCCCCACACTCTCTCATCTAAGGCTGGGGGTGACTAGGGGAAAACTGTGGAGGGAAAAACAAAAAAAAAATAAAAATAAAAAAATGGAGCGAACTTTTATCTCCCCTGAATCCATCTTTCCAAAACCTGGAGGAGAGATTGATCAAAGGGTAGACAGAGGCAAAAAAAGATGGCAGAGAAAGACTAAAGAGGCAACAAAAAAAACGGGGATCATGAGGAAGAGGGAAAAGGCAGAACGAGGTGAAAGACTTTTGTTTATTTATTTTTTAACATTCTCTCATCTGAGCACATGTTACAGGGCTCAAGGAGCGAGAAAGGGCGACAGCGCATTGTTCACCCTTCAGTGATGATCCGGGCTCAACATGGAAACTTCCTTTTGGTGGAGCAGCTCTACAAGGCAATATGAGAATATGGACCAATGTTCATGTTTTATTGAACCTTATTTATCCATTCTTTATTCACTGCATTTTTTGATATGTATTTCCCTTTTTTTTCATAAAGGATAAGTGGTTGACTTGTCCTAAGAGCTTGGTGGAATAAAAAATAATGGAAAAGTGTGTAGAAGTAGAGCGCAGAAATTGTGAAGTAGGCGACCGTAGACTTTGACAAGCAGTGTCATGATGGGAAACGAGAGGTGAGGAACGTAGAGAAAGGACTTTTTTCTTACAAAAATGTGTTTTAAAAAAAAAAAACAGTGTTCACTGAAAATGATACGTGACAGAAACAGATCAAAGATTATTCTGTGCTAAACAGTATTGGCGTTGCCTTCCTGTAATGTTGGATTGCAGTGTTACAGTTTACATTTTACACAGACTGCTATTAAGACAACGGTGCAGTGGATTGCTCCTTGTAATTCTGTTACCTGCTTCATTCATCACATCTCGATACGCAAAATTCAGCAGCATCCGGGTGCTCGTGTAGCAAACTCAAACTAATTATTTCCTCAGTCCACACATTTTCATGTCATATTAACCTTGTTATTTCCTGATGCTCATGTACACATTTGAAGCCTTGTTTACATTTTTTTTTCCCAACACTAAAGGCATATTTCATCCACATATCCCAGCAGTAAAGAAAAGTGTAATTGTTGTACCATTTGTACGGGGTCTGGAGAAATGTTTTAGGTAGTAAATGTATACATTTAACAGTTTATGAGGACTGCCTATTTGCACAAAAGTACTGCGGTTTAGGTGCAGTCAAACAGGTCTGAGAGAAAAGTCAGCACGGATGCCGGAGAACCAGCAGCACTCTTGGAAAGCAGTACAGTTAAAAGGATTTATTTCAGCTCTGTACAACCTCATTCATGGCTTCATTTATTCAGATGAAAGCATGACAGACATACAGTAGCCTATTCTTATATAAAAAAAAACAGTTTAGTGATGAAGTATCGTTTATATGTTATGTAAATAACATAATTTTATTTATTTTGATAGTTCACAATACAGTATATTTCTTTACTAGTAGTAAGTCTACGAGAACTGTAAAAAAAAACAACAAAAAAAACAATCAATCATACATGTGTGTCAGCAAAGAAAAAATAATCTAGAGGAGATCATCAGGTCGAGGTGAAACTACAGTTGATTTGAAGAAGACTGTTTCAACTTGGCGTTGTGGCACTTAGATGAATCTGCACAGACAAGAAGAAAATGAGACCTCCATCTTGGCTTCTTGTCAGAAACTGGGAATGATGTCACTTCCTCTGTAAAAGCAACCAGTAAAGGGAGAAACCAGGGGAGGGCGAGAAATATGCAGAGCGATTTCAGATTTTCTTTTTTTTTTTTAGCAGATGATCTCCCTGCAGTCGTCACACGTGTCTGTACGTTTCTGTATTTATTCCCATCATCACACATATACAGTAATGTGCCGCCATATTGACCAAAATCGGTATGAATTTGTTGTGCTGTTGAAATTCACATTCTCCAGCACATGGGGCACATGTGGTTTACCAAAGTGTTCTCACAGCTGCACCACAATATTACAATCTGTTGCAATACCAATACCTGTACCTCTGTTCAACAATGGTCTATCAATAATAGTAATAATTAAAATATGTTTCAAAAACAAGTTGTCTGTGTCTTTTGTAGAGCTTTAACCTGATTTAAGTTGGTGGAAGATTTCAAAACCTCAGTCAAAAGACTTCAGTGGCTTTGCACCCGTCTTGCTGTATGACTGGATTAATGGCCAGATGTGCAGTACACAATCCCAAAATCTCCACTGCATACAGATTTATTTAAATGTAAATTTGTCCTATCAAACACATGCACATAATCCCACAGAGGCTTGTTTTTTAAACTGTTGTTAACTGTTATCTGCTGGGGTGGCACTTGACTAGAGGGGCAGGCCTACTTGTTATATTTTCATGAATCCCACAACAGTTGTGGCCAGAGATGTGGGATCCAAAATTGTCTGTACTTGACAGGGCAGGTGCTCAGCATACAGGTGGGATGATAGAGTAGAAACGGCTTCATCAGGCTTGTTTAGTCATGGAAATTTGTTGCACTACAAAAAAAAATCTACAGATATACAGTAAGGAATAACAGCATATGGTACAGCTCAGCTTCAAGCACAAAAATTGTCAGAGGTTGGCAGGTAACATTTGATGAATCAGGTCATGGCATCAACAATAGATAATAAATACATTTTTTTCCCCTGAAAGATCATCCAGTTTAATGAGAAGAGAATATAAGAAACTCTGACTGAAGATTCAGACAGCTGTGTCTGTGCCTTCCACTATAATCTTGCCAGCCATATTCCCACAACTTGACAGTTTATTTCTATTCTTACCTGCGAGAACACCAGACCAAGTTGTAAAGTATCTCTGCCTCTAGAATAACTGCTCACTTTCAAAACTTTCAGCTTTGTCAAATGTTAAACTTTTGAAAATGCAATCAGTTATTTTAGTGTCCTCTTTTCAGCAGTGGCCACTGCCTGAATAACCATTTATTAACAACTGCACAGCTTGGTATTGATTATCTGGGTTATAATTAGAGTTATTAAAACCCTTCAATATAAGGATTAATGCATAATTTCTTCTTTCATATGTAAATGTTTTACTTAAATTAAATTACGAATACAGGACTAAAAAAAAAATACTTCTCTTTATAAAAGATTTCATTACCCTCTTCTTCCACCAATGTGTAATACCATTAATACAAACCACTCATTGTGAGGAGGATTCATTTTTTTGTTTGACCACCAGGGGTCAGTCCCACACTTGGAACCAAAGCAGCGAAGAAGAAATCCGTGCTATTTTAAATGCAGCGAGAGCAGTAACCCCTGGAAGTGTGACGGTAGGCAGTTACAAATCATCAAATTTATTATCTATATCATAGTGTATTTATGATATACTGCCTTCATAAAGCAGCCGAACACCTACTGTTACAGGAACCCGGGTGGCGACATGTCAATGAATAGCTGTATCAGCTAACGTGAGCTGACTGCAAAGGGATGGTGGTTAGCTAGCTAACTAGCTAGCTTGCTGCAGCAGCTGCACTGTTTTCGTACACCGCAGTCATGAGCGAAGATGACACTTCAGCATCAGCAAATAAAGACAAAGACTCCACTCTCCTGCTCACGAAAGACGGACAGCGCTACTACGTGAGTAAGAGCGGAGTGGTCGACAGCAGAAATGTGATAACGCCGCACGAACCAGAAAACAACGTCTCCTCCTACGACATGGACGACCTGGACGAGGAGAGCGACGTCTTGGACACCTCTGATCCCAGAGACAGCGCCGCCAGCCCGGAAGAGCTCAACGACGAGGAGACCTCGGAGGGTGACAACGCTCCTAAACAGTGCACTTATGAAGGCTGCACGGAGACCACGACGCAGGTGGCCAAGCAGAGGAAACCGTGGATGTGCAAAAAACACCGCAACAAGATGTACAAAGACAAGTACAAGAAGAAGAAAAGTGATCAGGCCATGTCCAGTGGGAAACTTGATGTAAGGTTCAGCTTCATAGATAGTTTAATAGCTAGAAGCTTTAATTTGAACTTATCATGATGTGACGGGGACATCCCATATAGACCCTTGAGCACACTTTTAAGTCAACCCATAACAGATGACTGGAGGAGTAAGGAATTTAAGAGGTGTGACCTCAGTTTACAATTCAGTTTACACTCCCAGGGCTGACCTCACTGGCTCATGTGATTCCCTGGCTCTGTTTTTCCAGACTTTATCATGAAGCACAACAAACAAAACTCCCTCAGTGAGTTAATTACTTGTTTTTTTTTTCGTGGTAATCAGGAAAACTCAGAGGAGCGGCCTGTGTCTGTGAACAAACAACGTCTTGGTGCCATGGGGGACCGGCCAGCTAGACCATCCCTGATAGAGCAGGTCCTCAACCAGAAGAGACTGGTAGGTTACAGTTGGTCTGATTGGTCGATGATTTTCACAATGGTGACAAATTAAAGGAAAAACTGGCATGAAGCATTTACATTTCTTATTTTTCCTCCTATCCTTAATTCAGGTTTTTCCTTTAATATGTCACACGTATGTATGATTGTCCTTATTCTCACTGCTGCCTCTGACTTTTTCTCTTGTATGGGAACTTTTAATTGGTTGCCTTACTCAAGACTGCATGGTAGAGTTTGGCTGATCACTTTGTCCAAATGACTTGCACACATCAGCTAAGTACCTAAGTGAACAGGTTTGACAGCCACCGTGTTTCATTGTGTGTCCTTCCACCCACACTGGGAGTGGAATCTATGTGAATAGAAAATTTGGCTCAAGGCTTTCTCTTCCCTACAAAGGGAGGAAAAAGACAAGAAAGCTTTGGATCTACAGACATATTTGTTGTTGCGTTTTGCACTGAAATGTGTGTGTTTATGTGTGTCCTTTCAGTCACTGCTCAGGAGTCCAGAGGTGATCAGCTTCCTTCAGCAGCAGCAGCAGCTCCTGGCCACACAGAGCCGCAGCCAATCACAGCAACAGTTCCAGGGTTGCTGACACCGGCTGCTCAATGTTTTACCTTACTATTTGTAATGTATAACGAGCACTGCCACTTGATGCATAAATGTAGTAACCATACACTGTTAACATGAACTTCTGCAGACAGGCTGAAGGTGTGGTGAGACAGGTGGACTGAACTAGGCCCAGGCTGACCGTGTGAAAAAACATGTCTGGTGCTGTTTATGAAGTATAATTTCTTAAATACAAGACATTTCTTTTCATATTAACTTATTGTTAATTTACATTGTAGTTACACCATCAAATCCCACTCGTTCTGTTAGTTATTAGTTATAGGAAGGCACTGTATTATAATTGTCCAGTTGGAGTTGCTCAGATGTTGCAAAAATAATCATGAGCTCAGTTTCATCCTCCTGTCTTTTCCATTGCTTTAAAAAAAAAAACAACAACCCAAGACTAGTTAATTTCTTTGTTTTAGTGTCATTTGTTTGATACTTTTCAGACAGTTTCCTCTTCATTAATTATTCTTCATTGTGTTTTTAATGTTTTCTTTTGAACATAAAGTGTTGTTACATGTGACAATCAGTTTGTGTAAGGCATGTCTGTAGCCTCTTTACAGTCAAGTGGGGGTTTTCAGGATGTGTGTGTTTAACAAAATTTTTATATAATGCTTGTGGTGCTATTGCACAGACAGTGAATTGTAAGTGTATACAAAAAGGAATACAAAACGAAGTGGGATGGGACGTATATTGGTCATGTTGGCTCTGTTGTCTTTGTGGCAAGGAGATGCTGTGTATCTACTGTATGTTGTTCCTGTGTTTTTAAGATGAAGTGTGTATCCCCCCCTGCTGTGAGGATGAGACTAAAATTATGTTAACATTGAGAAATCTCTCGCTACGTGATGCTTTGTTTTTTAACATGAGAAAAATACCTGTGTAACTTCAAATCTTATATATTAAAAAAAAAAAAAGATTCTTAAAGAAAAGAACACTTTACTGGAATGAGGAAAAAGCAACCGGTACATGAAGTCAAACATTAGTCAACACTTGGAAATACGATACACACTACCATAATAACATTTATAACACATAATAACACAAGTCCGAGTACCTACAAATGTATCCCATCGTTTTCCTTGGCTTGGAGTGCAGTGAACGTCCCAATGGAAAGAGAGAGAGAAGATAAATACTTTTTCATACTGAAATTAATGAACACTTGATCATTTAACTACATGAGTTGTAAATTACCCAATGAAATTCAGTTACACCTGTCTTTCAGTTTTGCTGTGTAGTGTGACAAAGCTGCAACAGATAGTTTTGTAATTTTGTGTGAGATGTCAAGAAAGGGACCGTAGGACAGAAAACCTGGACGTGGACGAGCATACAGAATCTACGACTACCTGTGTGAAGAACCGAGGGCACACACTAAAAAAAAAAGTGTGTGTGTGTGTTCATGTTATGAGACCGAAGAAATAGGGTTGTGCGGGGAGCCCATCTGTGTAAGGACCTTGTCCAGCCACTGCAGGGGCCCGTGCAGATGTACCTCGATCCAGCAGGGGGTGCTGGTCACATCTTGACGGTGGTATTCGGCGCCCCAGCCCTGAGGAGTGGACACAACCATAAATCTCACTATGCAAGACGGCAGTTCAGTTAACTGTTAAAATTAATGGGTGCCAAGTGGACAAGTGCAATCCCTGCTTGTGTACAGTGGGCTTTGACAAGCTCAACATCACTAAAAGATCAAAATAACGGCATATAATGTTACAATGAGGGTGGATATCTAGCCCCTTCTTATTAAACCACACAGGTTTCAAGCAGAAATGTGGGTAAAAGGATGATCACTAACTACATTTCTGTCTCTACATGTTGTGTATCCCCCAAGTGTTTCATTTTACAAGGAAGCTCAGTACCTTGACAAAACTCATTCGGATGGTGCACATCTTCGTGAGCTCGTAGACGACCTCGAAGCCGTGGTTGACGGACTGGGCGAGGAGCTGAGCGAACAGCTGGTTGTTGAAGATCTTGAGGCTGCAGCCGCTGGGGATCTTACACACGGTGGTGGCGTGGAAGCCGTGCTGGAAATTACAGTTGCGGCTCTGGACGAAGATACTGCTGTCACTCAGACACTCTGCGTACACCTCGCCACCTACATAGTACAGGTGTAGACCTGAGGGGAAAATCAAATAGTCTTAAATGATAAAGTACAAGACCAAGGGAACCCTTGTCTTTTTGCCGTGACGCAAATGTAACACTTACACAACAACAAAATTTGTACAGCAAAAACATGATCGAAAATACACATATTCAGTCACTTCATTGTATATTCTGCCAGAGAAAAACCACAAGGGCATTTATGCTTGTAACTGACTGAGTTGTGTCAGTCGTGTCTGAACTGGGGATGAACTATCCTCAACTCTTTGTATCACCCCTATCATTCAAAACCACACATCCTCTCGTTGCACAGTTTACTGTAACCCGCAGACTCTTGATGTCTGTCCAACAAAGAAAGGCTTTCTTAACCCCTTTACCATGAAAAAAAAACAATATTTGGCCTGAATGATTCAGCACAAGGAGACGAGCCGAGTGATGTTTTCGTTTCAAAAAAGACAAATGGGCAACTATAAAAGGTTTTTGCAACAAGCTTCCATCCAGTTCTTGCTCTGATCTAATGTATGCTGGGTAATGTCTACAAAAAAAAAACCCATTAAGAAATCACAAGTGTCTTCTGATGTGAATTACCTGCATGAGTCGTCCAGCCTACCTTTGCCTATGTGCCTGCGCGTGTGTTCGATGGTGGAGTTGCGGTTGACGTTGGATAGCAGGCCGAGGCAGAAGCGGTTCTTGTTGTTGGAAGGGTCTGTGAAGCCGTCCACCAGCACGCTGCGGGATGACGCGTGGAAAGTCTCCCCCACCCGGTTGTTGAGCTCGTAGTACGCTATGGAACACCAGTACTCTGGTTCCTCGTAGCACACGGGCCGTAAATCTAAACAGGAAGACGAGGGACAGTTGACTCTTGATCTTATGGTGCATCAAGAAGCATCCTGCCCATTGATTTGCAACATTATCTGCAGTGCCTCATACAACCAGATATCCCATCATTGCTTATTGCTTCATATGCAGAAATACTAATATTGCATGCATCTCTACTTTCTGTGTATCTGCGGTTGCTGTTACCTGTGTGTGGAGCAGAAAATGTAAGTTTAGTGGTTCCTGTGGAGTTGCTGGGCTTCACATCCTCCTGAGGGCTCGTCTCCATCATGCTGTACGGAGGTGGGGGAGTCTCTGCTGGAAAAGCATGTCACGAATCACAGTGGGAGGATAAATGGAGAAACCAACTGATGCACACTCATCAGAAACTGAGGTCAGAATCTGCTACAGCCATGGTGAAACTGCAGCCTGCTCACATGACAGATGTTTGAATATTTCAGACTGTAGCACTTTAAGTGTCGGCTTGCTCCTTTTAATACCTACCTGTGATGTGATACGGACTGCCGGGCTCTGCAGAGCTGTTGGGGGAGTTGGGGTAACTCTGTGAGGTGGGAGACTGGGCGTGGGTGGAGGAAGGGGAGGAGGAGGAGAAGGAGGAGCAGGGCAGCGGAGGGAAGGAGTCCGGGTAAGTGGCGTTCTGGGGCATCAGAGGCTCGTTGTGCAGAGAGGCGTTCCTGAACTTTGCCAGTAAACTGTGTTGAGGGTTGAACTCGCTGTGGCGTGGGACCAGGACTGGTGGCAGCACTGAGCGGAGCCGAGGGAAAAGGAAGGAGGAAGGTGGGGAGGGAGGGAGCGAACAAAGACAAAGAGAGACAGAGCAAGAGCCAGATGCTGTTATAAAAGATTATATTACTGCAGATCCTTTTGGCTTGGGAACACTGTATTGGATCAGATGTCCTGCCTCTATTTGGGAACCCATAAAAGCCTTACAGTTACAATACTAAAACTCAACAATGACCTTATTTATAAAGCTAATTTATTAGATATTCTCTGCTAATGTGTGTACCTGGAGTCTCCACGCGCCTGTAATGGTAGGGGTTGACGCAGATGTCCTTCTGCTTTGAGCCGAAGGGGAACTCGCAGCACTCCAGGGCTTTCAGCTCGTGGTGGGACTGCAGGTCAGGCCAGCGCCACACCCTGCAGTAGATGACGTGGGGCAGACCCTTCCTGTGGGACACCTGCAGCCTCCCGTCCAGCGAGCGAGGGATCGTCACACACTTGCCTGAGGGGTTAACATGAAATCAAAAGAGCTCGACGAAACGGGCAAATCCTGTTGTTTGTTGTTTGTAAGCCTTGATCATGATGAGACACGTTTGTTACCATGGTGATTAGACAGAAATCTGCACTCGGCACTTTTTTCTAGTGTATGAAAAGTATTTCTAATTCGGTTAGTTAAAGGTGCACTTTTAAGAATCAACAGAAAGTTGGACTTACAAGCAAGTGACTTTCGTATTTTCTACTGTGTGTATGTTCAGCTAAGTAAGTGACTCTAGATAAGAGCTTTTGTCATGTTTTCAACATAATTGATAATGAGACTCGTATAATTTCACATTTCTGGCTTTTAATCGTTTTTCCAGACCGGTTCAAAACAGTCAGGGCAGGTTTCTGGGTCTTGCGCAAGAACACATTGACAAAAAGCATCTGTTGCAATCAAACCTGTGAGCTCACACAGCCCTTTACAGACCAGACCAGTGGCTCCCAACCTTTTTACCTTCTGACCCATAACATATAGAATTACTTTTGCCCCCTCCTCACGTGTTTCATAATATGTCAATTAGCTGTGGGTTATCCAAAGAGTGATTTTTCCTTCTCCAATCGTTTCATTTGAATCATTTTTATTGGTCCAGAAGGTAAAGCATCAAGTTTTTCGCAGGAAAAAAGTAAATATTAGTGTAAAGTTATAACATTTCCTATCCTGTAAATCATCTCAAGGCCCCTCAGGTTTATGGTGTCACCCCCTGACCCCCCGACCCTGCTCAGGTTCCGACCTCCAGACTGGAAACCACTGTACTCGACTGATACTTACTGGGCTGGCCAGGGCAGCTGAGGGCCCTCTCTAACTCCTCCATTGCCCCTTTCTTCTTCTTTAATTTCTTCACTAGAGAGTCCACAGCCTTTTCTGCCCACTTCTCCTCCTCATCCCCTTGTTTCCAGCCGAGCAGGCGCTTCACTGCCGGGCTGGTGAAGGAGAAAAGGGATGTAATGGAGGCTGAGGAGTTCATGATGAGATAAATAAATTGGAGGGGCGAGATGAGCTGATGTTTAGGGTTCCACTTGAGAGCAGGAGTGAGGAGCCAGGACAGAGGAGAAACAGAGGTATGGATAAAAGAGGTAGCGTGATGAGTCTGTGTAAACAGAGGCTGTTTTTTTTTTTTTGTATTCTGCTGTTACTTCCGAGCAGTGCTTGCTGGAGGAGGAGTTGGACTCCCGCCAGTGCAGCACAAACCCTAAATCTCCTCTCTGGGTTGGCACAGAAGGGATCCGGCAGCTCTGCGCTGGAAGCCTCCTGTAGGAAACGTTACTCCTCACACAGCCAGAAATCCGGGTCAAGTTTCAATCACCTGGAAAGAGAAGTGAGAGAAAGCATTAACTGCTAATTTAGCTCCAAAAGATGCACGGTTGGTGAAAGAGTTCAGAGGTTAGGTAGAAAAGAGACCTTGGGGTTTAATTGTAGGGGAGTTAAGCCAAAGTAATTAAGGTGATAAGCTTGGTCTGGAGTGATGACAATAACCAGAGTGAAATCTGAGACTGAGCACCACATTACCAAAGTCTACTCATATTCAATGATCTGGACATTGGAGAAGGATTTCTATGATAAGGAGGCTACACAGAGAGCATGATCTCCCACATGCTGAACAACAACAAGGTTATTATTCTTCTCTGCGGAGAAAATAAAACACGTACCAAAAACTGTATGAGAAAGAGCAGGGCAAGATGGCCGGGCTCTTTTCTAGATTCACCAACAATGAGGAATGTCCTTTCTGGCCTCTGTTTCTATGATCATGCCACTGACGCCCAGGAGCCATACTGTCTGGCCAGAACACATCACAGGACAGGAGGGGGAGAGGGAGAGAGACAGACAGAGAGAGAGAGGGAGAGGGAGGGAGACAGAGAGGGAGAGCTCCCTGTTTGTGTATTTCTCCCCATTGAAAAACTATTGAAAATTACAGAAATGCCAACAACAATGTAGAGAAGTGTAGATTCACTCTATTCCACTATATTCAGGTAGCATTCAGGTAGAGTCTTTTTTTAGTGCACATCACTCCAGCTGCAGCATCTTACTAATAAATCAACTTTTCTCAAATATTCATACAGTAACATCAGCACGTCAGAGATCCAGTAGTAAGTTTATGATGGTGATTTACTTGGTTTGTCTTCTGTGGCTGAACGTCCTGCAATGTGGAGTATCATATTTGACCCATGTGGCAGAAAAACACGTTTTTGTAGTACTACTGTTGTAAAGCATTCTTGCATGTCAGATACCTTCACTCGTTCTGCTCTGCTCTGCATGCACGTCTGATCCAGATAAAGAAAAAAATAAACATCTTGGCAGGCAAAGACTTTACAAAGGTGAAGTGGAAGCTCTTTTAACCACAGAGAACAAACTTCTGAAAAAGACACAACAGGACCAGATCGGTTTAGTGTTAAATCTGGGACTTTGTGGCTTTTCAATCAGATCGGATCTCAAAATACACACAGGTAATAAGCAGTGAGAACCAGCCTAACTACACCATGCCCTGCGCTTGTTGATAGAAATGTGACCAAAGCTGGTTTCCCGCAGACAGACAGTCAGACAGACAGCTGGGGTTTACAATGACAGCAAAAAAGCGCACGGGCTCAATGCGGCATCAGTCCGCCGCTGCTGCTTTATGGCGCCTGGCGTCTCTCAGTCTGCAGGCTCAGATAGGCTAATTACCTAATGCTTTATCACCAGGACCCCCCCCCCCCCCCCCCCCCTCCCAAAAAAAGTAAACACGCCGGCTTCCTTTACTACTACTACACCGAACCACTTAGCCGCTGCAGAACCCGGGTTCTGCCCTAATTAACCTCTTAACACACACCTTGACGGTACAATATGTGAGCTGAATGATTTGGCATCCTGGTTCATTCCTGTCATAGTTTGATAACATCACTAGAGACAAAACTTGAACCAGTCAATCAAGCACATTGTAGTCTATCAAAGAGAACCATACTTAGCCTGTGTGTTTTATTACTCCTGAATTTGTGCTCACATTGAATATAGGCTATTGATTTTTGATCTATACAGCTATAAAACCGTAATTAGAAAATCTCAATATCTGATAGAATATTTAATCTCTAAAAAGTTGCCCAAAAAGTGGCAGTGGGCACATTTAAAGGATTTTTAACAGCAACGCACACAAAAAATCAACACTTATTATATATTCAACAGGGCAACAAACCCACAACAACATATCAAAAAATTCACAATTTCTGGAAATATACAAAATGACTATTTTCTCACCTCTGTTGTGATAACAAGTGCGCCGCAGACAGCCCTGTGCGTGTGAAGGCTTCCCTGTCTGTCGTAGGTCAGACTGTAACATACTGTGGCAGCGAAGGTGTGTGTCTGTTTGTGTGTGTATGTGCGGATTGTGTCTACGAGCATGTGTGTTGATGTTGAAATGTCAAGCGAGCGTCATTATCAATTGCATCCAGCTGCAGGTTTCAAAATAAACGCATAGTTAACAAATAGTAAAAAGTAATGCAAGGCGGCAGCGGAAGAGAACATAAGTAACAGAAGCTCAGTTCATTTGTCATTAAAATTTAGTGTGGTACAAAATAAAATCGATAACTAGTGTGTGGAGTCCTAAGAATAATTGATAACCTATCAATTATCCTAATAACATTTTATATTTTAATATTAATTGTATGATTATTACTAATTACTTACCTTTCATATAAATTGTGTAATATATTCATTGCAAAAAAGGTAATAACCATCAACATTCCCCATAGTAATTGTGTTTTATATTCACATTTTGATTTATATTAATTTTAAATGGAATCAAAGTTATTTAAATAAAGGTTTCTGGTTTCTGTCTTGTAGCAAAAATGTATTTATTCATTATTTAAATCGATGTTTGATGATTGTCGATAAGTCAATTTATGAACAATAATTTGCATTTAAAAATCATTGCCCGTGGTGTGTTTATTTATTGAGCACCACTTAAGGATATATATATATAAATAAATTAACTATGGCAATTTTTGGCAATTTATGGCAATCGTCGCAAGCATTGCTCATAGCTCAACTAGGCTTACAAATGACTGAACATCCGCCTTTACTGTGAAAGTACAGTCACAGTAACTTCCGGTATTGCCCTAGTCCTCTGCGGAGTTATTGACGCAGGTTTGTAGAGCCCGGAGCCTCCACTCCTCCAACAGCCCCAGCCGAGCGCCACACAGCCACGGCGGCGTCAGCTTGGCTGGAACCGCAGCGCCTGCATGCGAGATCCCTCCGCCTCCCCCCCCCCCGTCTGGATTTCCGAGGCATCTCAGGGATTTCAGATTTAGGCCCCGCAGCTACATGCACGCGCACACAAGTGCGTGTGTGTGCGTGCCACCTGAGCTATGCCCAGTCTCGCAACTACGGGCAGGCCCACAACAGCTGGCTCTAACTAACGAAGGGCAGAGAGAAAAACATTTCACCTGTTCCCTTTCTCTGGATATTCTAATTAATGGATTGACTTCCCTAAAAATATTGTAGGCCTCGTCTAATAATTACTAGCTATAAACACACTGTTTCACTGTGTTTGTGTTGTCATTCATTAGGTTAAATGTATGTTTTAGGTACTTTGTCAGTAGCTATTCCCTCCTACTGTTCTTGTATAAATGTTTTTTGTTTTTTTTTCATATATATCTTTTTATAGGGTATAATAATAGGGATTAAGCAGGCGCATGTCAGTGCAGTGATGATGGAAGTGACATTAGTTCTCTCTTATTTACAGGAAGTTGCAACCTTGCCCGTGGTGTGTATTCTAGATTATAGGTGCTGGAAGCCTGATTGGTTTATAATGAATAATGGTTTACATAGTAGCCTATGTTAAGTTACAGAATAATTTCAACTGAGATCTAGTAAAATGATATTAAATAGTTAACTATTTATTCTATGTTAGGTATACGCGCGCACACGCACCCATCCTACACCTGTAGCCTAAACAATGTGAAAGTAGAAAGTCGCCCTGAGGAGGGAGTATGTCTATAGATATTCCGCCGTGTCTTTCACTCACGCTAAGAACATTTTTTCCTCTTAAAAATCGAAGTTGCTTCATTATCTACTGCTGAAAGCCACACAGAGGTCTTTCTCATTGCGGATGGATACGATCCTTTATTGGGAGTGCCGTGACTGGTCCAGTTAATGACGCAAGCCCGGCTGGCGACAGTGAGTCTACAAGTTTGACATTTTCACAGTTTACAGCAACTGCTGCGGAACGTAACAATACTCCCAACACGAAGTGAAACCACTCTGGGGATCATCTGTAAAACCTCATGATTTTTTTTTGTCCAACGACCAGGTGGATCATCAAAATGCACCACCGAAATAAACTGCCCCGGTGTGCCTCAAATAGGTGGTGGTCTATGAGAGCGAGGGATTTCCAAAATCTAGTCCCAGGTCCTCAGGGAAGCCGCGAGAAGGGTCCAAGGGCAAAACGATGAACACTATAAATGGTTCAAGTGTTTCTTCCTTCTCTTTGGAAATAAGTATAGGAAGAAATCAGCCTAATAATGACTGATTTATTCATTTGGCTTCAGCTGTCCTCCACCTCACCTGATGAAAGTCTGCCCACAGTCATATCTATCAATTCAAATTTAAGAAATTTGCCTATTTGTTTTGGCATCACATAGTTAAAGTTCAAGCTGATTTCCTGCAGAAAATCAGCAGGAATCAGACTTGGATCAATAAAATCCCTTCCTCATGTAAATCTTTAATGTGTCACCTTTTCACTCTCCTGCCAGATTATGACTCACAGCCGGTGTGTGTCTTGTCTAGCTGCTCAGGGCAGACAGGCAGGCAGGCAGACAGATAGACAGGGCACAAACAGGATGCTCTCCCCGGGGCTCCGGGAGGCCCCAGAGACATCCTCATCAACATGAACCGTAGACCTCAGGCTTGCATAAGAAAACGGCTCTATTGAGAAGTTCATTTACTGGGACCGCAAAAACGCTTGCTGGACATTTTCCAAGATGATGTCCACATGAGGGTTGGGAGACAGGAAAAAGGATGAGTTTGGCGACACATAATGTAATCCAGGTTTTCTGCACTTTGTTTCATGTCAAGGAAAAGCCCAACTCATGATAATGCAGCCCCATACTCATAAAACTTTATATTGCTGATACCGGCTAATTTCATTATAGGATTTTAGCTGTTAAATCTAATTTTATACAAAATTAAATAAACTGTAAGTAGAGTCAGATTCTGCAGATTTCTACTAATGATATTTAAGAGATATTTTCCTGACCCCAGTACTCTCTGAAGAACGCCTGATAGAAACCCTATAGCCCTCAATTTGAGAAACAGTGACCTGGGATGAAAGCCGTCATTCATTGTCGCACTGTGCACCCTCTGTGTTAAGATCCAATTAAGATAGTGCATCTGTTAAATTTTGCAGTGAAAAATTGCATTAGCAGGGTGAAGCTTTGTGTCAGAGGCAGGAAAGACACAAAGAGACGGGAAGCTGACTGATAGAAGATCAGGACACAACCTAACAAAGTTTCAAATGTTATCGAAATGTTAAACATGGCGTAAAAATTCTTGGGATTTTGTTTGACCCTGATACAAATTTTGAGCTTCATGAGAAATAAATGGTTCAGTAATGCTTTTTATATAAATATTTAACAACTCCTTTTGTTTAAAGTTTTGGAAAACATCATCAGATCTTAACAGAAGATCTTCTCTAGCTCAGCTCTGACTGGTCCATAAACACTGCAGCAAGGCTTTTAACAAAAACAAAATTTAGATCACACAGTTTACCAGTTTAAACTTGTCTAATATCATGATTGGTGTCAATATTAATGTACAAGGTATTAAATGGTCATGAATTGTGTCCTCTGACCTCAGATCTTTAGCGTTGAGATTTCTTTTGCTGTTTTTCCTTCTTCGACTCTCAAACATCCTCCCACAAACTCTCAGAGAAGCCAAAGAAGTGCATTTTTTGTAACCATCTTAAAAATCAATGGTTTACAATTAACAGTAGTGCTGCATCTATGATGATAATTTTGTTGCTGAAATCAATTCGTTTTTTGGTCTATAAAACATCAAAAAACTGAAAAATGCAGATTAAAAATATAAAGATCAAGGTGACACCAAATATCTTGTTTTGTATGACCAACAGTCCAAACCAAAATATATTACTTTTACAACAATGAAAGAATTCTAATACTTCAAATCAAATATTTGGCATTTTTACTATTTAAAAAAACAAAAAAAAACAAAAAACAAAAAATCACTTGAATGATTAATCGATTATCAAAATAGTTCACATTTCTGTTTATCAACTATATAAACTAATTGTTGCAGCACTACTTACGTCAATAATGATTTTCATAGCATAAACCATCAACTTTTTTTTATTTGGACTCAAGTCATCCATCCCATCAACCCGTGGCAATATTTCCTCAAAAATTCAGTCCCTCCCCCTGTGAAAATCTCATACAACATCATCCAGTCTACCCGTCAGCATCATGACACACAGATCTACACATCCTTCACATTTCCTACAAGTCTTTCTGACTTACAGCTGATTGGCCACAAAAATAAACATTAAGTAACTGAATACATGGACCAGTCATACAGACATTCTGTAAACCGCGGCAACAGAAATGTGCGTGTAACAGTGGCGATCACAAGCCAATATCCGATTTGAAAAAAAGAAAAAGAAAAAAAAAAAGGCAGGACCATGAGGAACCCACAACTGTGTCATTACTCCACCTCCAGTGATGTTCGGAAAGGAAAACAATGTGGCATACTGTACTCGGTTCTTTGCGACTGATGGACACAGTTGTTAATCCCACCTCAACCAAAGGTTTGATGGCCCTATCAGAGGCTGTCTCTAGGATACCAGGGCCTGTCTGCTTGGCTAGTCAGTCTTATGTGGCGACTCCAGTTTCCAGGCTCCGGTGATGTAGCGCAGGCGAATGAAAATCAGGTCTCGTCCCATCTGCAGCCAGCTCCAAAACGGGACCAGCTTGGACCCTGGCAGGGCAAACGCACAGGAACTTAATTCTCGAGTGATGCTTTTATGGGACAAATAATGGAAATATACCAGTATTCTGACTTTTACTGCTGACAGGCCATACAGTAACACCACCAGAAAAGACTTAATCACAGCAGTACTAAGAAGGCTTAGGAATGCAACAGTCTGTAAATGTGTCACAGTCAAAAACATGGAAAACAAAACAAACAAGGAAAAAAAACAACAAAATCTTTGGAGAGATCAAAACCCACCAGATCAACAGGTCTGAACACCTACAATATATAATTACTTTCAAAAAGTTAAATAAGGAATAACTACAAGTAATACAAATATATTAAATCAGCCAATCACAGAGTTGAAAACACAACAGAGATATTTATAGAAGATAGGTGGCACAGTGGGAGGACACATGTCCACATATTCCATGAAAAACCTACCTTCTATTTCAGTCCAGTTGACCGCCACCTCTGCTATGGGGATTTTAAAACACTGGGCAATATACAGGAGCTCCACATCAAAAGCCCTTTGAGAAAAAAGATACAAGTGAACAGATGTTCAGAAGTAAGATCAAAATTCAGGTTTAATTGCAGATTTTAAGAAACCCAAGCGGCCTAAACACTAGTGTTGCATGTGGAGCTTCAGAACCTTTTTGCTACTGACATGTGTGTCCACATTACTGATAACTGCAATGAACTGAAAACTAGCACTGAATGTCAGGTAAGATTTGTAGTATTCATGTTCAATTCTGATCAGATAGTTCCTGACTTCAATCAAAATGATGCTAAATGTTGAGGCGAGGCAAAAACTGCAAGATTGAATTTTATTTAGACAAAGTTATTGTGCAAGTGCTCCTGATTAGAAAACATTAAACATTTCAGAAGAACGCTTCTTTTGTACAGTTAAAAAAAAAAAAAACGGCTTAAAGATATTTTGAATCTGGGATATTATGCTAGAATTGTAAGAGTTGCAATGACCTTTATCAGAAAATATAAAAGTCCACCAACACAGGTGTCTTCACTCATGCTGCCTCATTACACCTCCTCTCAAAACTGTGTGTGTCAACTTGACTGACATCTTCCTTCACTCTTCTATTAGCTGTTGCTGGGCAGGAGAACTTACCCCATTATTATTCTAATTGGTCCATTGAGTTTGGTGACATTATGGCTTTCCAAGCATAGCTCCGCCTAGCTTCAACCTGACTGGAGGTCTAATTGACCGGATTCATTGGAAACACCTGTGTGAGGTTGCTGGTCACACCAGTGTGTCTGCTGATAAGACTAACGAGGCATTTCGTCAACAGATGAGGACTTCTGATAAGCATGTTTCTGCATTTAACATTAAACAGACCAATGCTTATTTCGTTTCTAAAATAAGTGACGGGTTGATTGTAACAGATTGAGTGCAACAGGTTGACTCTTTTCACACAACAATGGCACAAAACCACAACAATGTGTCTGTGTGTTGGTGCCACCATGACAGAGAAAAACATCTGGTCAGTTTCTCGTTATAAGGAGAAATTGAGGAAAATGAATGTTTGTCATGGCGGCAGACAATACAGCTGTCACTACATCATCCTACTAACTCATGATGTGTCCATGGTGGAGTGCGATTCCTTACCATCGCTCTACGTGGAGAGAGGAGAAGGTCTTGAGAGCAGCCTCACGTGTGAAAAGCTTGAAGCCGCACTGTGTGTCCTTGATCCCTCTCACGCAAAGGAACCACACCAGGAAGTGAAAGCCATACATTAGGAATGTACGAAAGACGGATCTCTGCGGCACAGACACAACAGCGGTTACTTAATGGTTAAACAGACATAGCCTACAATACTCTGGACTCCAAGCGGACAAGGAAGACAGATACCTGAGCTACTGACTCTTGCTCCAGGTGAGCTCTGGAACCACAGGAAATTCCCATGTTCTCCTAAATGTACGGACAGGGGTTTAAAGGATGGGCACACACTAACCGCCTTCAATTAACACATGTATGTAAGACAGAGCAACAAAAATTGAACACAGCCGCACCGGCTTAGGGTTGAGGTCTTTAAGTCCAGCCTCCACTTTGTCAAGGTCGGAAAACTTTGTGGCTCCGTCAGCATCGGCCATCAGAATGACTTTACCTCTGGAGCTCAGAGTTCCCTTTAAATGAGACAGAAAAAAACACATGTAAAATCAATACAAATTTAATTCCTTACTATTGCTTTTGTGGTGCATTGAGACACAATGTAGTTTGACAGTCTCACCATCCGCACCGCCCCTCCTTTCCCTCGGTTCTTGACCAGCGTCAGGACCCGCACTTTATCTGCACCATACTTCCTAGTGTACCGCGAAGCAACCTGGCAGGACAATCGCAACAGTGTTCACTCACAAACCAAATCTCTACTGGTATCACTTTCAAATGCTTAGCTAAGCAAGTGAGCTGAACAAAAATAAAATTCTTAGTAACATATCCCCCAAAAAAAGGTTTAAATTATTACCTCTGTGGTTTTGTCTTTGCTGCCATCATCTACCACAATGACCTCATAGGTAAAAGATGGGTTTTGTTTCTGCAGTAAGGAAATAACATGAGGGAATTATTTCACAACAGGCACTTTTTCCAGTTGAATGCTGCCACCTACTGGCCACTTTGAGAATAACTGATGTTTTCTTTGTTTCACCTTTCAGAAGATGATAAAACTGCTTCTCTCAGATCAGTGAAGATAATAAAATAAAAAATATTTCTTAGACTCTTTTAATTATTCCCATTTTAATCAAACTATAATTATCATTAAGATTTAATTTAACACTGCCCATATGAGGCTGAGCACTTACCTGTCTGTTTTCTAAGTAATCCATAGCTTCATCCAACATCACAGGCACTGTAATGACACAGTCACACACATATTAGTGTCCATAACCTATTGCAGGTGCAAGGTGAACTATGTCATTTAAACTGAACCAACATGCATGGTTACTGAATGTTTACTACCCAGTGGATGGTGCACAATTCATCATTCACCACAAAGTAAACTTTAAAGTGCAATTATTAGCATTAAACTGCTGGTGATGATTAGGTCCTTAAAACACAGACTAATGATGTATCCTATATCCTATGCATTCCATATGAATCCTGTAAATGTCACTCACTTCGGAGCTCCTCGTTGTAGGCTGGGATCACCACAGAGAGCTCCCTGGAGTGGGGATCGTGCAGGCTGGGGAACAGCTCCTTCTCTCCTGAGGCAGTGAGGAAGTATTTCTCCTTCTCGTGGCGGATCAGGTTCACCATGCCAGCAGTGACGTGTGCTACAACGAGCACCTGAAAAAGCCAAAATAGCACTCTTGTTACACTGGCCTTCAGGTATGTTTAGAGTTTTTCACCACAGCTGAGTGAATGTATTAAATACTTTAGAACATGTACTAATTGTTTCATGAGTGATGATTCTGTCAGAACCTCCACTAAAGTCTATAAAGTAGCAGAAGCACAACAAACTTTGTTGTTACCATGACTTTCAGTGTTTTATTCCTTAATCATGTTTCAATTTTATGCCTCACAGCTTCTTTTCGTTACCTGTTACTTACAGTTTGTTGGATTACATCCTTTTCTTGAATGTCAGATTTCTTCTTTTGTTTTTTGGAAGTGTGTTAAGTATATGTTGTTATAATACAGGCTCAAATCTAATAAAATGTTTGTAATTTTATCATTATGTAAGTCATGCTAGGTTTTATTACTTTTTAGAATTCTGTGTTCCACCTTAAAGTGGACTACTCCTGCTGCTGCTTTGGAGATAACTAAGGATTAACAACTAGATTTTAGTGTTTACAAACAGACGCAGAGAGAAAAGGGAGTGTCATAAAATTGAGGGGAAGTACAAGATAAAGCCTGAGCATAACACACTGCAAAAGGACTTCTTACATGAAAAAGTACAGAGAGACAGAAATCCACACTGCCGACCAGTGGGTGCAAAATGCTTTTGGACAGCTTCTGCCTCACATTACAGACATCAAACACCTGATAAACAAGCTACAACAGCTGTCTGCCAACACAATATGAACTCATTATTATAACTACTTACCACAATCAAAGCTAGAGCTGCTAATGCGACCAAGGCTTGAACTATTTCACAGAGGAAATCCATTTTCCATTAGTTATTCTGCAGCCACTAACAGACCAACACTCAGAGTGCCTAGCTATAAAGCTAGCTTGCCTTCTCCTCGCTTTGCTCCGTGTCTCGCCGCCCGTGCTCTAACTTCCCGGGGTACACAAGAAAATACAAGCTTAGACGACTGTTTAGAAGGTGGAAGCACTAAATAACAATCCTCGTATTTCCATTACTCTGCGGGCGGTTCAGTTTGACTCCACTTCCAATCACAACTGAACACAAGGGTGACAAGGAAGTGACAACTTTTTCTCGACACATCATCAGTTTGAGGCAAGAGAGCACCGAGCGGTCCTGCGGTGACACATTCACTGACACCTAGAGGACAGGGGTGGGAATGACCGCAGGAACAGTGGTGGTGGAGGGAGAGAACAAAATCGCATTTGTACTTGTACTTCCTCCTACCGGCTACCGTAGTGTGGACACCAAACCCACGTGGTTAATCAAAACATCATGGCGGCTGGTTTCAAGTAAGTTTGAACAGATTGCAGTTATTACATCTAAAATAATACTTTTAATGTGTTGTAATCTCAGTTATAAAACTAATTTATTATTAGAAGTGATCGTTGACTGCTGTCAGAAAAATAAAAATCTGCATGTGAATCCTGTTCCGCCGATGTGCTGTAGTGAATATATTTATAACGATATAATTTATCTGACTGGTGAATAGTTAGTTAATACACGATAAATAACCAGTAACCAGCCAGTCCTGGTGTCATTGATCTGATAAAAGGATTTGGCCGTCATCTAAGCGAGCTCTGAATTACAGGCGAATGAGCGGATCTGTCATTAAAGATGAATGTTAGTGATGTTTTCACTCTGTAAACCAACAACCGCTTTCTCCTTGTTCACTCCAGGACTGCTGAGCCTCTGGAGTACCACAGGAGTTTCCTGGTTAGTGAGAGTAAAAACACACATTCAGTCCATAGCTGACGTTCAGCTTGTCCCTCTGAGTGAATGGTTACACATTTCTATTTATTATTAATGGCAGTGTCAGCAGTCACATAACATCCAAACCTTCTCCTTTTTAGAAAGAGAACTGCCGGCCTGATGGACGGGAGCTGTCAGAATTCAGAACCACAACTCTAAACATAGGTGAGACACAGCGCTGAGTCTTATCCACACAAATCATCATATATATATTTTTTCCAAGTCTACATGGGATATTTTCTTTCTGTTCAGGGTCCATATCCACAGCAGACGGCTCAGCCCTGGTGAAGGTTGGAAACACCACCATCATCTGTGGGATCAAAGCGGTAAATAATCGTGAACACATAAACATAAAATAAAAATCTTATTTAAATGGTTTTGGACCAGATAAATATATGTTTACTCCTTTCTTGTGTTTCTTTGTGTGCAGGAGTTGGCAAACCCTACAGTTGAAGCACCTGGTAAAGGTTACATCGGTAAGTGCTGAATCAAGGCAGTGTACACCAGGTGGATATGGATTTTTTTCCTCCTCCTTTTGTTCCTAATATTATGTTATATAACTTTACATAATTAAAATATCATAAATTTAGTCAATTCAATTATGACATACTTGTGACATAATTGCGTGTTTCACTGTCAAATTGCCAGTTGTTTTCTTTATGAGATTTTTATAGTTGGCAATTTATAAGGTGTTTTGTCAGCTCTACAAGTCTTGTTTTATGACTGTATTAAAAAAATCACATAATTGACATTTCCTGGAATTCTCAGCTTATGTGCCACACAGCTTGAGTAGATGAGACTATTAATATTATTATAACATCTGTTATATGTCAGTTAACTATGTCTTAGGCGGTTTATATTGCTCAAAACTAGAACATGGTACAAATATACTGACTCCATTTCTCTCCCTGTCCTTGTTAGTGCCCAACGTGGACCTGCCGCCTCTGTGTTCGTCTCGGTTTCGACCGGGCCCGCCTGGAGAACAGGCCCAGGCTGCCAGCCAGTTTATCGCTGATGTAATTGAAAGGTGCGGCAGATTTTAATACAAATTTCTTACGTTTTTATCAGGTGTGTTAATTCTCTTCATGCCTGCCAATACTCTCACTAAGTTTTGTCATATGGGTTTTGCAGCTCTGAAGTGATACAAACAGAGGACTTGTGCATTGACAGAGGAAAGGTAAATGCAGTTTGACGCACATGCACTGGAGCCTGTTATACTGTTGTCAATGTCGAGATCATTGGTTCTGATTGTGCTGATTCTGGTTGCAGCTCTGCTGGGTGCTCTACTGCGACATGATGTGTCTGGACTACGATGGGAACGTGTTGGATGCTTGTATTGTTGCCCTGTTGGCTGCTCTGAAGAACAGTATGTGCTGTGCTGCTGCTGTAGCTGAAATGAAAAAAACAATTTGTTTTTGACTGTATATGTAGTCATTGTTGCACAGTCAGTGATCTGTGCCTGACATTAAGTGTCAATGCTGTATCTTGCAGCACATACTCAGGCTCATCCTCCCACTTTAAGTGAACTAATTCTTTTCGGCCTTGGCCACATAGGATCTGTCTGTTTTATAAGCTGCTTTTCATGAGTATGATAACGTCACATCTTCCCTGTTCTCCACAGCACAACTCCCGGAGATCACCATCAACAAAGAAACATGTTCACCAGAGCTGAATTTAGAAAAGAGACATGGGCTGCATATTCACAAACATCCAGTCGCTACCTCTTTTTGTATCTTCGATGAGTAAGTGGATGATTTTCGGTTTATCTAGCCAGAATAAAAACTACCTTCAGTGTTCACAAGTGTGATCCTCGCCTGCTGTCTGTGCAGCTCCATACTGATCGTAGACCCCACGTCCGAGGAGGAGAGTCTGGCGACCGCTGAGCTCACTGTGGTGACGGATGAGGAAGATCGACTCTGCTCTCTGCACAAACCAGGTCAGCGTAAAGTCTGTAGAGACCTGCCTCTCCCTGTGTTGCATATCCAATTTGTTATTGATTACAAAAAGGAAAACTCATTAGGAACGCCCCACTGTCAAATATGCAGGGCTGGAAAAGCTGATCTAAGAACACAAAGGTTACATTTAAACTATAAAATAATTTTATCCTGGGATATACTGTGCAATTTAGTAATGTTTTCAGTCAAAAGTTAAAAAATAAACGACTAAATCAGAGGATTTACTCTCCATTTTCAATAATCAGTATGAATTTAAAAATATAAAATGTATTGAAAACCTTTTTTTTATTTTTTATAAAGAATTGTATGAAGCAAATGCCACATTAAAATCCCACACTAAAGAATTCAGTCATTATCTGTTTCTGTGTTTATGCTGGTATCATATTTTGCACAAACCTAGCTTGGAATTTTGTGCAGTGAGTAAAGTCAGTCAGACAATCTACCTATACTGCTCCGATGTTAAGCCCTCTCTCTTGAAGAATGAGGACTGCCTCCCAGTTGCAACTGCAAACCCGCCAAACAAGTGTATAAACGGAGCTCCTGCAGTTTGCAGGCATTAAAACAAATCATACCGACTGTTCTCTGAGGTTGAATGGAAAGAAAAAAACATTGTTGCTAACAATCTTCCCCTCTGGCTCAGGTGGGTCGTCCCTGACGGGAGAGAAGCTGCAGGAGTGTATAAACCGAGCAACAGTGCGACAGAGAGAGATCCACAAACTCATCGACAAAGTCATATACAGTGTGAAGACAGCACAATAAGGAGCCGCAGACAATGCTTTTTATCTAAAAGCTGTATTTTCCACTGTCAATATATATTCTTTTTTTTTTTAATAACAATAAAACTGCTGACAAAGACTGCTTAAAAAATTATTTCTCAGTGTCCAGAAACGTCTCACACACACACACGCTCAGATGATGTCTTGTAAGAATACGCCCATGGCTCCTGAACTAATTAAAAGGAAATGCCTTTTCAAAATGTGCTGTACAAAAGCAGGTACACCGTCTTGCATGTTGATCTTGAGTCCTCGGTTGAGCCCTGTGCCGGGATTGCTAACAGAAGAAAGACTTCCAACAGACTGAGAGGTAGAGAGCTGCCCCCAGGCACTAAGCCAAGATCAGATTTGCATTTTCACATGTAATGGTTATATGGAGGATTTGGTGTCAATAAGCTCAGCTGGGATCTGTGCTTAAAGGGCAGTTTCTACCGGGGGTCAACCAAGCAGAGGCACGAGGATCAGGAAGGCTCATGAGGAATCCTCTGAGAATGTGCATTCATGATCCTCTCAGTCCACGGGGGTCTCCATAGAAAAAAAAACAACCAAATCTTCCTGAAGGGGCGATCTGTTATCGTGGAAGCCCAATACCTACAAGAACCATCTTTTTCTGTTTCATCTCAAAAAAATATCACTAAGGTTCTTAAAGCGTAGGGCTCCCTGTTCTAAAAACCCCATCCTCTATGGTGGACACAGTTTTGGTTCTCCAAAACCTCTGACAACCATTACATACAAATTTGTCAGCTAGAAAAAGACAAACAGAAACGGCAAAAAAAAAAAAAGTCTTTTTTTTTGTCTGCAGTCTCCACAGTGAGGCAGACAAAGAGCACAGTATGGATCATTCACGTCCTTGTGTAGCTGGGGGTGGGGTGGGGTTTAGTGTGATTTTAGTCTGTCATGACTTTGGGAGGGGCTGTGGCGTGCTCCTCTTCCTCTTACTTCTTGGTTGGCTGGCGGTATGTTGCCGTGGTGCTCCCCCCTGAGGAGCTGCTGCTCCCATAGCCATTTGCTGCTGCTGCATTTGGTGCTGCAAGAATTGCAACTGTCCAGTGCGGAGAGAAAGATGATATAGAAACAATATGAGAGGCAATTTCAGGATGTTAGCTTACTACAAGCATCACAATGCACGTTTCTGTCAGTAGGTCTAACGTATGTGTAAGCACCTGCAGCGCGGTTAAAAGAAACATTCACTGGCATCACTGTTGAGCAGACTCCCTCACTGAAACTGGAATCTTAGATAGTGTCATAGACATCTATATTAAGTGGCATTGATTAGTGAAGCTGAATTGAAGCCTGGTACAACATTCAAGAGGAGTGTGAAGAGAAACACAGAAGAGTGGTTAATGGGTTGCAGAGGGGTGGGAGGAGGAGGAAGAGGAGGAGGAGGAAGAGGAGGAGATACAGATTTGGGGGCAGGGCAGGGTGTGTTGGGGAGTGAGGCAGGATACAGTCAAGCAGCACCAGTGGCGTTCTGGAGACACAAATTATTGGCTGTGATCCTGGCAACGACAGACATGCAGCTTAGCAACCGTGCTTTCTGCTCAGAGTAAGTCAGCAACTTCAACTGGGCAAAAAAAAAAAAAAAAAAAAGGTCCGTAACACCTTAACACTTCATGCTTAAACATCTCTAATCTGTCGTGATACAGTCAGCAACATTTCAACAGATCCTGTTTCTAAAGTGCTTTGTAAGAACATGCCTCCCACTTCCACACGCTGTTAGTTGCTGCCATGGGAAGTGCCACAAGCTCTGGTGTGCGGGTCGCTTTAAGTACGGGCACTGCTGTCGTCTTAGTCAAACAACATATTAACCAAACATACAACACAAGATGGAGTGAATGGTGTGGATCTACAACAAAGAAAATAAATTATTCCACAAGGCAAGTGATGAAAATCAGACCTGGTGTGATACAGTTTTCATTACAACTGTTCATTAGAAGTAAATAAATAAAAAGACATAATTAAGAATATATTGAATATATTCTGAATAATTATTTACATTTTAATTTACTGTATATAAAAAGCAAATTTAAGAAAATGTTTAAGTGTTTTTAAAATCCATTCAAATTTGACCCAGGTCTGATGAAAATATCAAATTCGTAGGTAAAGAAAAATAAAGAAATCACTGTCTTTTTTTTTTAGACTTGAATACACAGCACAAAGTAAATTTACCTGATTCCCTGACAGTTTATAATGGAGCACAACATACACCTGCCTGCTAAATGAAGGCATGGAGAGTGCTGGTGAATCTAGACTCAGTGTTTGGCTCCTACAAAAAAAAAATGTATATGTGTATACAGATGTTAAAGTTGCTGTATTACTTGGATCTGTGGCTGGTGCTGCTGCTGAAGCCTTGGAGAAGGCAGTGGGGGCCCAGACCCGTCCAGCCCACAGCCCAACTGGGACAGCACTAAGGGGGGGGAGGAGGGAGAGAGGAAGCCCCAGGGGGAAGGGATGTGACGGCAAGAGGGAGAGAAGCAAAGCGATGGAGTAAAGTATGAAGAGAGAAAATGCACGTACAAAAGGGAAACAGCGATGAGGATGGGGAGGAGGATGCAGGGTAGGGGGGCATGGTGTCAGTGATCCATATAGGAAAGAGGTGAAATGGAAGAAAAAGAAGACAAAAAGAGGGAACATCGCAGGGGGGGCCAGTAGCACAGGGAAATTACCATGTCCACATAGATTTTTAAGTGTGGATTATGGGCAAATAGCATATAGGGGTTGAGCCAGACAAGTGGGAGTGAGCAGGGCAGGTGGAGGAGGAGGACGGGACAGTGCAAGAGGGAAAGACATAAGGGTGGGGGCAAAAAAAAAAATAAAAACAACAGAGAAAAAAGAAAAAAGAAAATGTAGCAGAGAAGAAGGGGAAGTTGAGTCTCTCCTGTCAGTTGTTATATGCTCCACTGAGAGGAACAATGGCTGACTTCAGTAAAATGATCATGTTTAGTTACAGACTATGAGTCCTAATGTACAGTAATTACAATGATGAATACATTAGTAAAACCTTATCTTATTAGTACTAGTTAGTGGTATGGTGTCAATCTAGTTTGAAACAGATGGAGGGACTGAACGAACAGAAGTGTTTCAGAGAAATCTGTGTGGGTTTAGTGTATATTTGTGTGTATGTGTGTGTGCGGGTGTGTGTGTATGTGTGTCTGCATGCGTGATTGGGGGGTGGGGGGTTCATACCTGCTGCCTGTGGAGACATGAACCCTCCGACTCCCAGGTTGATGACCGCGGTTTGCTGGTTTCCTAAACTCTGATCTGACCCCTGATCACCCTGCAGAGAAAGTCAAAGGTAGCACAAAACAGTGAGGCCATCACACGCAGTTACAAAGCCAGACACTGTTGAAACACTGTTCAAAGGAACATCAAATCAAAACTAAGTTTTAAAAAGTGGTTTAAAAGAACCAGTTCATAAGATTTAGGATCTGTAATCACCTGAAACTAAGACTGACTGTGTTTTCCTTAGCTTAGAATGAGCCCTTCATATCTACATAGGGAGCAGGTCCTCTTCCACGGAGCCTGCTATGTTGCCCTGCCATACTGGTGGTTCGACTCCCGGCTCCTCCAGTCTGCATGTCAAAGTGCCCTTGGGCAAGATACTGAACCCTAAATTACCCCTGATGCATCACTGATTTATGAAAAAAAAGTGCTGTATGAATGTGTGAATGTGGCTTGTAGTGTAAAGTGCTTCGAGTGGTCGTTAAGACTAGAAAAGCGCTATATAGGTGCAGTTCATTTACCATGTTTCTACAGTAGCTGAGAATGGACAAACCACACACTAGCTCTAGAGAGGGAGCGGTTCTCCTACACGGTTGTGAAGAGAGGGGTGAGGCGTGGGGGATTCAGTTGGTTGCAACTTGCATCCTCACCGCTAGATGCCACTAAGACCCACACACTGGTCCTTTGAAAGATGATATTAATTTTACTAGTTCTCATATGTGAGCCCAGCACAGTGAGGGTCTGGCCATTAGATGGTTATGAGGTGTTTTGGCAGCGGTTACAGCTTCTCCTACAGCGCCTGCTGGAACACTTCAGTATCAGCTTGGCACTGTTGGATTCTGGGCTTTTCTCCCATTATTCCATGCAGATTTGTTCAAACTTGCTCTTGTATGACTCAGAGCTTCTTGTCAGCTGTCATGAACCAGTTTCATAGATTTTCCATTATCAAGTCTGGGCTTCAGCTGGGTCACTCGAGCATTTTCAAATTCTTTGCCATATATGTCAGCACACTTTGGTCGGACCAGAGATCTTTGCCCCAACCTTTTTAGGTGTAGCTTCCTTTCGGAGTTCTGGCTTCTTTTCAGCAACTCTGACATACAACCCAGAGTGGTCATTGGCTCTTTTATCACTTCCCTAACATGCATTCTGTTGGCTGTATGTGCTTGTGTGCGTTTTACATGCAGACGTGTGTCTCACCGTCTCGCCCTGCTGTTGAGGACTGGAGGTGGCCGACTGACTCTGCTGTGGGGAGAACTGAGACAGCTGTTGCTGCTGCAGAGAGTTAAAGATGAGAGGACCAGTGGGGAGCTGGGAATGTAAAACACAAAAAGACACAACCACACACACACACACACACATACACACGCACACAGACACCAACGGACAAAAAGTAGGGGAGTGACAGACAGGGAGGTCAGGGGAAAGGATTGAAGGGTTGGAGATGGAGAGGCAGAGGGGAAGGAATGATGCACATGTAAGCAAAAAGGGACAAGAGCAGGGGAAAGTGGGAGAATTAACAAAGCAATCAAACAACACAGGGTAACTAGACCATCACTGCTATCACGATATCAACAATATAAAGGGTTATAGAGGGGATAATGCAAGCAATGATCCTGAAACAAACTCTGCCTGTGTTCATTATCCCTACACTTCTTCTGCACTATCCCTTGACCTCCCCCAGCGAAGGCTAATTTGCTTTCCATCTCAAAAGGTAGAGGGTGGCACTAATCAATCCAGGGGCACCACATACAAAAGACACTCGAGCAACTTGATGAAAAGTGTTCACTACATGACATGATGTGCAGTGTGGCTGCAGGGAAAAGGGACGTGTGAGGAAATTAAGCCGTGCAGGTGATTCACAAACAGCTCTCCACTATTCCAGGTGCCAAACAAATAGCCAGTGCATGCAACTAACAGTGGTGCAAGAGCCATACCTGCAGTAGGTTCAGTGGTCTCAACCCAGTACTGCTGTTCAGGCCAAAATGACTCCCTGCAGCAACAAATCAAGAGTTACACTCACCCAACAGAATAACACAAACAGAGGAATTTTCTTTGCTATATGAACACACTGTTGCGGTGCATTGTACAGCTCGTGTTTCCATTCACAACAACTTTCTGTTCATTTTCTATAAGCATCTTTTTACACCTAGGACTCAGTTGCACACCAGTCAAAGATGGTGAATTTGAATTGGCCCTTTTACCTTTATATAATCAGACCTTTTCAGTTTTTCCTGGTTCGGAAACTTTTGTTACTGTAGGCCTGTGAAGCCTTGTGACGCATTGCATGTAACACGGAGCTAAAAGAGGAAAAACAACCCTTTTAAGTATAGAGTCACTTGTTGATTCCTGGAGCAGCCAGTGTGTGTCCAACCCTCTCAAAATGTCCTTGAGCAATACAGTTAATCCTCTTATCTTCCTGGTCAAATGCAAATTGCTGATTGTGCAGTAGGAACCTGTTTGGTAAAATGGCGTCCCACTGTTCTGCCCTCTAATGTGAGGTCAGAGGTCAGTGGTCCCTGCAGCTGGAATTCCCTGTTATGCTCAAGGTCATGTCAGAAGGCTGGATGCAAAAGAACACGAGAGGTTCATTTAAAAGGTTAGTCTCCATGCTCAGAGCACCACACTGCTACCCTGTAGCATGTTTATCTGCAGGTCACATGGAGACTGACTGCTCATAAATCATTTTGGTAGCACAAGAGGGGACACGGCACTGAAATTTCACTCTTACCAGTCTGTGCCGCGGACTGCATGGTGGGCATCAGCCCTCCAGGTGGCAGGATTCCACTCAGATTAAGGCCTGGACCCAGCATGGGGTTGGAGCCACTCATCAAGGTCTGAGGACTGCTACAAAAACAGCACAGGATCGTCATGAAGTGTGACAGTGAACAGCAAGTGGCAGTATGGCACCAGAGACTTTTATTTTATGTCTTACCAGACTGAGCTGACCACATTGATGAAATTCAGCCCTGCAGCGTTGGCCATGACCTGCGATGACGTGGTTCCTGTGGTGATGGACGTACCCATGGTGGGCAGGGGAATGGTCATGACGGGCAGCGGCTGGCTTAGAGCCAGTTGCTGCTGGGGGAAAGGCGTGAGGAGGGCGGGCTGCGACTGGCTCTGAACCATGGGAGGATCTGAAGGGGTAGGGGTCACCGAGAGAGGAGCAGCGAGTGAGTCGGTGGGGTGCGGGGTGGAGCACGGCGTGTTGGTGGGTGTGGGGGTGGATGGCTTGGGGGTTCCAGATCCTTAAGGAGAGATAAATGGGTTAAAACAAAAACAAAACAATTATGAAGACAGGGAGGTTTGCTACTTTTCAGCAGGTGATATCTGGAAAGTTTTATAAGCAAGAGTTTAGTAAAAAAAAAAAAAAACTCTAGACTCATTCTCTCACTTCAGTGATTAATCTTTTTTTTTTTTGCACTGCAAATTTAGGACAGTTGCTACTTTGCTAAATGGAAATGGTTCTTTTCCTTAATAACAGCTAAAAAGTTAAGTTTAACTTCTGAGGCTCTAATCTTGTCAAAAGTTCATCCATTTTTCTGACAATGTGTGTGCCAGCTGGCTTTAGTTAAAATACATAACACAACAGAAACAAGGGCTGGTGATGATGCAATTTTCTGTGAGCTTGTCAAGTTCCAGATCCGTCCCTGTAGTTTCATGCTCCCATATTTCTTAAGACCTGGACCCTTGTCAAGGACATGTTTCATTGTTTCTTCATCCAGATCTGACATTCCAATACAACTTGCTCTCACAACTGTGGCTGTGCCTGATGAAAGCAAGCAGCCCAACGGTTAGTCACAGTCGGCTGTACTCACTCTGTGTGGAGCCCATAGGGGAGAGGGAGGCGGGCGACAGCAGGCCCACCTGGCCCAGCTCCATGGAGTGCTTCCTGTTCAGAGACTGGCTTTTGGCTGGAGGGGGCGTAGGACACTTGAGTAGACCACTGGTGGTTTGTGAACTATATGGATTACCTGATGGAAAAAAGAAGAGTTGACATATTTACTGCACTATTTTTCATAAGCAGAGAGCATAAAATAGATCTGGTTAAACCCTTGTAACTTCATATTTAAGAGCTTAATAGTCTTGTGGTGACAGGCAGACACCAGATAGCAACAGGAGGAGATTCTTCTCACGAATGAGGCAATTTATCCCTGTATCTGTTCTCTACCACACTGCTCCCAGGAGGCATGTTCGGTCACAACATGTTTGCAGAGCAACTTAGCAGTAGCATTTGTACCTGAGGAGCTGCTGCCTGATCCTGAAGGCAGTTTGATGGGAGGGGGTCTGTGCTTAACCCCTTTCCCCAAAACAGACGTCTGGACCAGTGGAGAAATACCATCACCCTGCAGATGACATTCAAACCAGCTCGTCAGCCACAGCGTATCACAAAAAGTAACACAACAGTAACTTTCTGTTTGAGTTACAAACCCCGAGCAACCTTGAACATTTCCTACATCCGAGTGAGGAAGTATTTACCTCATCTTTGCTGGGGGAGGGAGGCCCCTGTCCCACGTTGACTGAGTTATGGGTCATCTTGACGACACACTTCATATCCCTCTCATACACTCCTTTGTACTGAGTAAGAAACCTATGAAACAGACATTATGCTAAATTTTATACCATGCTCTCTGACAGTATATCTCTGGAAACTGTATCTGACAGGATTAGCTTCTCAACAAAAGAAAACATGGTGACTCACCGGTCTGCGTCTGTCTTCGAGCCTATGAGGAAGCTGCGAATGAGACAAAAGAGATGAAGATGAGCGGCATTTCAAATTCACTCGTGTATACTGAATTTGTCTCGCAGACTTGTGCTTACGGGGGATGTATGAGCTTTAAGTCTGTGCTGTCCTCCTCTGCTTTGGGTTCTTTAGCACAGTAGATCTTCCCATACACCAGTGGATCGCCCATCGACTGGAAGATAGACACCTTGGTCCTCTGCGCTTGGCCCCCCACCTCACACTCAAGAGTGTAGTCGTCTACAACTTCCTGTGTAAACGAATGCAATTTAATGAAAAAAAGGTTTGTATGACGCGCAAGATAAAGTTCTGTGGTGTCATGTTTTTCTCAAGGGTGAGAAAAGGCAGTAGAGGAAGAGACGAGAGCGGCATGGGTAAATTCCAACCGCATAAACAAAAGTGGACTATTTTTTAATATGCTGTCACAAACATTAATGTTCACATTAGCAAATTAGCCTCGCCACATGACCTTGACTGTGCCTCGCACCACCTGTTTCAGGGCCGAGAACTGAGAATATATTACCCTTCGCTTCACTGACTTTCATAAGAGATGAGGTATTTTGAAATGATGTGAAAAAGAGTCCAGCACCATTTATGGACAGAAGCAATGCCCCCGACACGCTCTGACTGCAGTCCGGTGTGGTCTACTTTTCCATAATAGCAGAAGCATGTGTGAAATTCAGAAATGTTCCACATTTACTGCACTTCTGTGGTCGAGTTGAACGGTATTCATGGCTGATCATCGAAAAGGAATCCGTTTAAGGCCGTACAGCCTTTTAGAAGATATCGTTTCTGTGTTCATACATTTGTGTGAACACATGCTGTGGTAATTTTGCAGAGTGTAGCGGGTCAGCAAAGTCAATTTAGGGAGTAGAGTCAATTCTTCTGTGTTTCCTATGGAGCATTACAGGTTTGCACGCAAACACCCCCTGCTTATTTTCTGACAGCAAGCAGCCTCATCATTGATCTCTACCCTCAGAGAATATTAATGCTGCCGTTGTCACACTTACCTCAGCAGGCCAGATCACAGTGGTGGGCTGAGAGTCCTCCAATTGCAGGGATTTCTCCACCACGGCGTACTTTTCCACCTGGAGCAAAACACAAAAACAAATCCATCAGGTTCGGTATGCCCCACATTATAACTGTCAGACTGTGAGCTGAGTGGGTTTTAAGTGGTGTTGGTTCAAATGCTTAAGTGACAGTGTTAAAAAAAAAAGAAAAAAAAAGGAACGCTGAGCTACTCACATCAATTTCCTTCGGTACAGTTAGTTGGCAGTTGCTCTGCTTCCACATGTCAACACACTGCGAGTGATGACAGCCAAGAGGCCAGGACGAGATCAGAGAAGAACAAAAAGAGGCATGAGCAAAAAAGAGTGAGAGTGCGCTACGACAACATACATTGATCTATGCTGTAGTAGTGCTGAAACACCAGCTTGTGTTCACCAGTGACTCCCTTGGGGAAATTAGAATACATTTAAACATGGCTGAAGAAACATTTCCTTCCGAGTTTTATTTAAATATACGGGTGGGTTGACAATATCTTTTATCATGCAGGATAAGGTCTACCAAAATGGGAAAAAAAACCTCAGCCAACCTCATCATATCCGAGTATGTACCCAGTGTAGATATGTTTGTCATATTGCGGGTAGTTTGTCTACTTACGTTTCCGATCTTGGAGATCTTCAGGTCTATGACGGGAGCAGGTTTCCTCTCCTTCCTCCTCTGTAGGTAGTCGTAGAGTCGAAGCTGCGGTGGCATGGGCAGATGGGACAGTTCCTGCTGCCTGTTCAGTGCAGCTCGAGAGTGCCTCTTGAAACACCTGCAGTGCAAACAAGCAAGAAGTATGCGTCTTCAAATGCTTTTCAAGGCTTTTGCTTCATTCATTGACATTTTCTTTTTTGCAATCACAGTGCTTTCAATTTTCATGTCTTCCATTTAAAAAAGAAAAAAAAAACATTCAGAAATGTGCATTCTTTTGTTGTGAGTGTGTGAGTGTGTTCTGTACCGTTTCATGGAGCGAGTGTTCATTTTCTGTTTGTTGTAGAGCAGGCGGTTGGCTGTGCAGGTGACAGAGATGGAAGGGTCCAGGCACAGAGGTTCAGCTGTGGCCAAAATCAACTGACTCTCCAGCTGTAATTTATCATCCTAAAAAAAAGAAAAAGAAAAGAAAAACAGACTATAAAAACAGCTACAAAAAAACACCTGCGCAATGTGCTGATGCTAAAATGACTCAAGACACACAAGGGAGGACTGCTACTATTATGATCTAGAATATTTGCATTAACTAAGGCATTGTAGAAGCATTTTACTTGAATAAAACATATTTCTAACTTAAACATTAAATATAATTTGAATTTGCAGGAAAAGATACAGTGCTATGTAAAATACAGGTGTTCGGGTTGTGTTAAATGAGGATGTGGGTGAATTAATGGGACAGAAAAGGGACAAATCAAGATAGTGAAGTGCCAGATTTAGTCTTGCGTGTCTCACTAAGATGGTAAACACGGCACTTTACCTGTGTCCATTTGTGATGGTCACTCGTCATGGCGTGGACATCACAGATCAGAGTCTACAAGGCAAATTTTATGTTAAAACGTCAACTGTAAGTCAATACTTTTTCATTCATTCGATGTCAAAATCTTACGATTGCTCAAACAGTATTTCGTTTTTCACGTGTTCTACTGGTTTACCTGCATGGTTGGACGCAGCAGGACGTGTCTGCTCTGATAGGTGGGCATCTTGGTATTTCCAGACTGCCTGTAGTCTCTCACTTCTACTATTACGCAGCCACAGTGGAAGATGTTCACCTGAGACACAAGGCATATTGTGGATGTCAACTAACTGATGGACACCAAGTGGGAGATTATTATACAATAATCAATAAGAAACTACTGTAAGATAGGAAGAACTGAAACCCTGCATAGCTAGCTTAACCTAAATCTAGAGTCATCTGTATATGTGCACATACGCATACAAACCTGTGATTTCTCCAACAGATCCACCAGAATAGGAGGCAACTCCTCTGCATCTAGGTACTCCAGCAGCTCTCCCTCTTCATATGGCAGACGGATTGTTTCAGAATCTAGAGAGGAACATGATATGAATGTTGCAGATGAGATGATTGTGGTAAACAGAGCTGAAAGAAAAGGAGAAAAAAAAACAACTGGATGGACTTGGGTAATTGCTTAACTGGCTTCTCTCACCAGATCCATTTTTGCCCCTGAGCATTAGAGAATAGCCTTCATTCCCAGGGTACAGGTTGACCACCAGACATGATACAGACTCCTGAGACACCAGCTTCTCCAGTAGATTCACATTTCTCCTCAAATTCTTTGAAACACAAATAAGAGACCAATCTGCCATATTAGTAACAAAACTCTCAGTTATATCCATGCCAACTCTATGAGAGAGAAATGTTACTGCTTTCCACCCACTTCTACTTTGAGTTAATGCTCTTAAATAGTGGTTTAATAGGCTTTTCACAAGAAAATTTAACAGACAAGCGCTGCCACTTCTTAAAATCTGGCATATTACAGGTATTTACTAATTATTTTATTATTATCAAGAAGCAGAGGTGATTTCTTATAAGACTTTAGTGCATGTGGATTTTACAATCTTACTGTTTATGTATAGAATTTACATATGATTTGGACAAAATGTAGGTTGATTAAATCTCAAGTTTACCACATCTGACTGCATTACTTCTCGATCACGTAGTTGCCTATTGCAGTTAATAAATGGTAAACAAAACAGGAGTTAACTCAGTTCTGAACCAACGGGTAAGGAAAAGACAGACTGTAGAAAATACAGTGTTCAAAATTGTTCAATCACTTATATGTAAGTCCTCCTTTTTCTTGCATTAACACTCTTTCATGTAACTAAAACATGTGCATGGATGTTTAGAAACCCTTATCGACACAATTATATGTTTTTTTCCATTTATCATCTACAGAAAAAACAAGGTTTTCATGCATACCCATAATGACCTAGTCATAACTGAGAGTCAAGTTGCATAATACAAACCTTTAACTCTGGCTCTTTCTCACATTCCTCTATGTACAGCTCATAGAGCTTCTGATACAAACTCTTCCTCCCGCCAGATGAAATTCTTCTTTTGGCTGGTCGTTGTCGAGCACTTTCAACAATGTACTGAATGACAGATAATACGCTGCATTAATGAATGATGGGACAGAATCGTGTATGACTAACATGGACAGTGCATTTAGATGGTGCACAGAGATAGCTGTGAGCACATGCAATTCATTTCTCTGTAAACAAGCATATAAACCTGAAATAGTGGCTTTTACCTCGGCTCGATCCAATGCATATTCCAAAACTTGTTGCTGAGGGGAATAAGTGAAAAAATAAAACTCAGCTCAGTCACAATGGGAATTCCCAAATAGATAAGTGAACAACTGTGTAAGACCTGGTGAAGGGTTGTGGTGGACTATTTTATCTGGTAGAAAACATCAATGTGTGTGTCCACTGGATATGCAGAGACAGATGGCCTAAAAGAGATGAAACTTACCATTGTGGTCCACCGCCAGCTGCAAGGCGAGTGACGGTAGACGATGCTGTCCTTTCTGCCCCACACTGTCACCTTCCTATAGTGACCATTCACACCCTGCACAGCAACACAGCAGACGTGTTTCACGCAGCACGGCCAAACAAACGCAGATGACAGATACACAAACAGAGATACAGAAACACTCAAGAGTGGCGGGCGGGTTGTTAAGTCAGTGCTGATGCCAAAAAGCCTGTCTGGCACTCAATCAGATGCCACATAAAAACAGCTAAGAAGACTGACGAGCGAAATTGTTTCATCCTTTGCTTATATGTGTGCAAAGTAAATACACTCACAATGTGTCTCTGCGTCGCTAAAGCTGGGTAGCTAGGGTTAGTGAACTCTGATAACTGAGAGTGCAGTCAAGAGAGTGGCTGAATAGCAACAAGCTCGTTGATGCCTGACCGTTGAGGCTAACAAGGCTAACCTTAGCATGCTAGCCCGTTCCTAGTGGGCAAGCTGTGAGTTACCCGCTACGCTAGCGATGTTACGCCGTCCGAGACACAAACCAACAAAGCGACGTCAATCTCAACGAATAGGATGGACTTGCCTTGTAGATTGCATAGCGGTCGACTGTAGCTCCGATGCGAGAAAACGAAATGAAATTGAAATATCAGTGTCTTCATTGAAAAAAAGTCGGAGCTGCAGCCATTTTCTTCCAGTGTGACAACAACAGCTAAACTTCCGGTTTGAGCGGCGGTGGGCGGAGCCACAGTAGGTGCTTACTTTACCACCCAACAGATGCTAGATCTATAGATCCACATCTGCCTGATAAATGCAGATAACTTATCTGACTTTATCTTCATGAGACACAGTTGTATGCAAAAGTTTTGGTGTCTGATCTGCAGAATGAGTGGGTGAAACATCCTAAATCAACGTGTTAGCAAGCTGTGATATCTGCTAAAATTAATTTTTTTCCCCTATTTTTAAAGATCATAAATTAAAAAAACAACAGTGCATTGACATTTTACTGGCTAAATTTAATGGCTGCCGGGGTCGTATTGTATTTACTTATTTCCATCTCAAAACATATTCCCATAAATGCCCAAACTTTTCCCCGCAACTGTATGTTGGCATCTTTGTCAAGGAGAATGCACATTTATACAATATTCTCAGATATTTTATTCTAAATTTGTTTCTAACTGCTTAATTGAATCAGTTGTCCCTTTATTAAAAAAACATTTTCATAATCATTCACTCAATCATCATCATCATTCAATCATTCACTGATGATAGTAATTAACTCAGTTCAGTTCAGTTTGCTAAATAAAAAACAAACAAATAAGTTAACAATAGCCTATAAAACACATGATAGTAATTAATAATAGAGAATCAGTTGCACTTATGGGCACTTATGGCCTTCCTGGTTTTGTTACCCAATCTTGAGGCCCTTTCTTTAAGTGGGTCTGTGTTTGTATGTTATCATTAAACTTTTAACGCTTAACCTAAACATACAACAAAGGCAAGCGAGCAGTGACTGATAGCTGTTGTCACAATGTGTTATTTTGTGTTTAGTGTGTAGGCTAAGGATAGTTTTGTTATTTAAAAAAAAATGTGTCCTTTTCAGTTTGTGACACAAAGTCAAAAGGAAATCATTTAAGGATCTCTTCAAGTTTGGCACATTTGAAAGCAGATGAAAACAACTGATTAAAGCTATTTACAAATGACTTCAGCCCATAGGCTAATGTATACATCTTGGTAGACTGAAATCCCACAAATGTACAGTAGGGGGAAGAGCAGGATAGCAGATTCATTAGGCCGAATGCCACAGTTTTGCAGTAACAGCAGCAACATAAAGAAAAAGTAGATTTGAAGGAATTTAAAGTCTCCACTTGCAAACGTAGAGGTGAGAACTGATTGTGCCTGTAATTTATGCAACAGAAATTTAAAGCAGTTGATGAAGACATAATCTGTGAATGTTTCCATACAGGCATGTAGTAAATGTCTGGACAGCAGAGAATGAATCAGGTTTACAGGTTTAGATGACATAAGAGTAAGGATACACTTTTAACAGCCTTTTATATGTCAAATTTATCCTATATGTTACTCAAAAACTGCACCAAACATAAAAAAATCTTTTAGTGCCTTTTGAAACTTGTCACTGAAAACATTTACAATGCTACTGAAACATGTGGATTTCACAGAAGAGTTACATAAATGTGTTGTAACTGTTTAAGCATCTGTGAGCGGGTTTTTGTCTTTTCTTCTGGCTGTCTGTCTTGAAAAAGAATTCTTTCAACATCAACATCTCTGTAGTATAAGTACTTCCTTTATGTGGACAGAAAGGTTCTGGGTGGGGCTCAGTTAGGATCAGTCCTCACCTGCTGCACATGCACACACACACACACACACGCACACGCACACGCACACGCACACACACACACACACACACGCACACACACACACACACACACACACACACACACACACACAGAGGTACCCTTTCTTTCAAGAGCTAAACTTCCACATGACAGGGCATGCTTGGGGTCAGTCACATTTCAAAATGTAAGCTATTTCTTTTAAAGCCTTTTCTTCGGTACACAAGGGACAGGGTTGCATGTGTTGCTGATGCTGCCAGCAATTTAGTTTCTGACATATTGGTTAAATTTGATTTTGCCTCAATAATAAATGTTTCTCCATTGACTCAAATCCCAGAGTTAGCTTTACTAAATGACTAATTGACCAGAAATGCTGGTTTTAATCAGTTTTGATTAGTGGCACCACTTGTTGGAACCTAATTCGTTTGCAAAAATAAAAATAAAAATAAAAATAAAAATCCATCCTTAACCCATTCTCAAACTGATTGGTGACTGGCTATTTCTCTGTATAAAATGATACAATAAAATCAAAACGAGTGATGAAAAAATTTTGTTTCACTTTGGCATCAACATCTCTGCTGTGCAGCTTTCACTCTGACTGGTTTCCTTCCAGGACATTACAAAAGACTCAGGCTGTGGTGTTGAACCGACACATATCCTAATTCATCTTTTATTTCCTCAGCAGTGATAGCCGTGCCTGGCTGGAGCTTAGAAGGAATAAGCACATAACCATAATCATATTGGGAAAAAGAGACATGAAAGTATATGTAAGACCAAAATGCATGGCAGTATTCCTGAGAAATATAGCGTCTGCATTCAGTAATATCTGGATTTGGACCATGTGATAGTCTTGTAGCTTCAAAGCTTGAACAATAAGATGAGTCACATAAATCTGTTAGTACATATTAGAAGTATGATAATGATGATGGCAATGGCGATCATGACTCAGAGTGTTCTGTGAAGCTCTGTCTCATGTGAAGAGAAATACTGAACAGGCTCTCAGATGATTCAACAAGCCGGTGCAGTGCATCTTACTTTTGTTTTCACTCAGTGTCATTCCTTAACTGCAATTTGCATCCTCATCGACAAGAGAAAAAAGATGCTAGCTGAAGACCTGTCTGATACACACTTTGACTTCTTAGTGGTGTTGAAGATGCCCCCTTGAAAATGCCAAATGAGCACATCTGAGAGAGCTGCTCTCACATCAAGGCAGTGTGTTGGAGCTATTCTCGTACCGATGCTCCTCTCCTGGCAAATCAAAAACGACAGCTGAATACGCTACAAACCCTTAATTCAATCCCTGCGTTGCAGCCATGTGGAGAAGGGTGCGGGATTTAAGGATTTTGAATAATCTTGTCTGCAAATTAGGACCTGCTATCAATTATCCACTTCATCCGAGGTGCGTTCTGGCGAGCTACACAGTTGGCAAGTGGCCTGTGCTGATGGCTTACTGTGGAGCGGGACACCTATGTAAACAGCATTTTGATTGAAACGGATAAACGGCTCTTGGTTTTCAAAAGTGCATCCAGAGTCAAAACCTCAGGGGAACAGTATGGGCATAGAGAGTTCACGTTTGTGCAGTGCTAATTTTAGGAGGTTTTCTATATCATCTTCTTGTATTTTCAACATGTTGGAATTGCCTTGTCTGCAGCAGTCTCGTCTCTGATCTGCTGTGGATGCAGTAAGTGAGGCTGACACTAAGGACGCCTAATGCGAATTTTTACAAAGGTCATGCAGAGGTCATTTTAATATTCTCTTGCCTTGAAATCAGTGTACTTATAAGGTGACAGTGAAGTATGACGTTTGTTAGCTGGCTTTTATTCACTCCTCTGCCTCTAATGTGTTATTACAATACTCACTTGGGAACCCACTCTCACTATTTATCCATTTAATAGCTGCTCCTACAGACATTTTACTGGACTAGTAGGTTAGAGAGATTGAGAAGTGGTCCTGTACACGTCTCTACTTGCCAACATTTGCTTCTGATGAGTCATAGCACCTGTGAATAAAAACTTTATAAAGGAAAAAAAAACAAAATTCTCAATATCATAGATTATTAATGAGAAGCAAACATGGAGTGAAAAGAAAAAAAATCAGATGAGTCCAAATTCCTGACATGCGGCAGACTTTTTAGCTAAGCTGCTGGAGCGTTTCAAATCCATAAAAGCTGAGGTGTGATAGATCACTCACCATAAAAAAATCCTTTCACAATAAGAACCATGTTGTTTTGTTTACAGAATACGGAGGGACCTCCAGATGCAGTCATTGTGTTGCTGTGCCACGGGCTCTGGTCACGTTTTTTTTTCCAGTCCAGGATGAGCTATGAGTGAAGCAAACAAGCACACACTGTGGAGAGTGAGAGAGAGAGAGGGGAGATGAGCTAAATGAGACATTAGGATGTGCCAGTGAAACAGGGACTGACAAAACATGTAGGTTACGTCCAGCGGGAGAGGGAGAGGCAAATCCTTCACATAGTGTTGACAGGCAGTTGGCACAATCGTGAATACACTGCAACTACAAACTCTCTTTCCCTCCGCTCTTGAGTCTGTCTCTTCTTCATGCCTCTCTCACCTTGACGGACGTGGGACCTGGAAACTGTGGGAGAGGAGTCTTTTCCATCTCAGTCTGTCTTTTCTCTTGAGGGAAGGGACGAGGACTGCAGCTGTGTGGGAGTTTAACATCGAGCGAGAGGATCCAAAACTTTCAAAAAGCAGATTGTCAGATGAAGTCATTCTCTGGAGGATGTCACATCTCAAAGTGTACGGTACACAAGTATAGGAGCTAAAATTCTATGGCGTGTTACACAAATACCTCTATCTTGCATCTGTTGTCTGTTTTATACATTTACTCTTATCATAAAAAAAAAATGTTCAAGTTACAGTGATGGAAAAGTAAAAATTAAACAATTTAAATGTAAAACTTATATATAATGCAAATGAATATTTAATAACTAATTTCTATTTAATTTTCATTTCAACAATATGAACACATGGAGCTCACAGAATGGATATAAAACAAACGAGATAATTCCCACAGTTCAATGACACTGTAAAATATCCTCATTAAATTATCAGCTTGCTCACATCACATTACATCTCAACTGTCAAATCCTCTTATCATCATCCAGATGAAGACTTCACTGAGGAAGAATGACTGGTCAAAAAGTGCAGGCCTATGTAGAACAAAAAAAAAAAAGAAGCATGAGATGAATATCGTTACTTTATGAATGTGGGAAATATCAACGACTTTGTGGCACTGACGGGCCACCACGCTCTGGTCCAGCTGTGGCCC